CATTGACATTATCATAAGTTGGTTATGCTGTCTGAAATTGAACTCCACACTAAATTAAATGTAACATTACCGGCTTACTAACAGTTTCCAAGTAATATAAAATTGTTGGACATATTTCAATGAATCTCACTGTTTCTGTCTCACACACAGTTTCCCCATTCTTTCTTAAATCTGTTGGTTTGGGTAGTGATTTCGGTTGCTGTTTACCACAGTGTTTGGACTCGATTGAAGGTGTCTGTCTGTACATTAATTAATACTCTCCAGAATTATGCTAAGGTCCTAAAGACACGGGCTCCAGTTGTTTATATTCTACCAGTTGGAGGGAAATGTTTTCTTGCTTTTACTGGTGTCATCATCAACTGGTCTCACCTATAACAGTAGATCTTATACATACTCTCTGCTATATCTGTTGTTCAGTCTTCTACTTCCTACATAACAGTTTGATTGAAATAATGAGGATGTGTAGAAGGATGTTTTAGACTGCCGAAAACGTCAAAAAAATATGCATTTAGATTTTGAAACTTTTTTGATAGCCAGTGAACCGTGTTAATCTCGAATTCCCAATATAAAACCCTTTTAATCCTTGGTTACCATTTATTCTAGTGCTTTAATAAATCAAGGTTATTTTCATACTACGGAAATTTTACTTCATCGGTTCAGCGAAAATCCAATAAAACACCACATAGAATTCTCTTCTCTTGTATTATTATCTCAACGCGGCAAGATCCAATCCAGTATGATAACTACTACTTCGTATTGACGAATGAATTCTGAATATTTGGAATATGCATGAAACAACTTATGCACCCAGAAATTTTCCTACGCTTGTATGTAACAGAAACTGACTTGATTATCTCAGACAGGTGAACAATAGTCCGAGATTGCATATCAAAGTCCTTAACTGTTTGGACAAATTCTGGTACAAAGTAAGTGAGCTGAAAACTACTGGAATTCTCCGTCATTTACAAATGAACTACTCTACAGTAGTAAAGTGCAGTAGAATTTCGTATTTGTTGTTGACCGACTTCAAATAATGTGGGCCATCTACCATTCCTTTTCTCAATGTGACCTTGTTCAGTAATATGTGGATGGCATGAGTGGGGTTTTTGAATAGGAGACCTTATGCTGATTGTAGCTGTGTAAGCTTTATTATGTTCATTGAATTTGGTCGCTTTAAGCACACGCTACATGCATAGTCAGATAAGGAAGACAATACTGTAATGCAGGTGGCCAACAACTGGCAAGAAATTCTACTTGTCCAACTTTCACTTTAGAGTCAGTGTGTAATAATTTATCTAGCGAGTCACCAATATCAGCCGGATGAGAAATATATTACTTAATTAGATTTCACATTTCCTCTACCCAGACATGATCGACTTCTCCATAAAACTTCGGTTAATTTGACAAATTCCACAGTCGATATTTCCCATCTCCACATGAATAAGTGAACAGACAAATACACATAGATAGGTCAAGACTATTTAACTTTTCCTTCAATAGAGTCATTGTCATTCATCATATGGGAAATTACGGAAGATAAATAAGCACTAAACTTAAACGTTTTATACCCAGTTCAAATGTGATTGCTGTCTTCTTCCCTACTTAGTAGAACATTGAGATGCACGTTTGCATCCTTTTGTCTGGAAGTGAAAATGGGTGAAGTGCATGATTGAGTTTCACTGACAGTTCACTTACATATGTGCTTATCAGTAGTGTTTCGTCGACATGGTAATAACGCATATCAAACTCAATGATGACGTCTTTTCAGTTAAACTTGTAATACAGAAAATTGAGCGATGTCTACTAGGATGGGAGATAACGCTGAGCACATGTATGTTGAATCCTCATTCTTATTATATACATACATAATAACATGTACATGCACTTTACGTTGGACTAGTAATCTCTTCACACTAGAATCATGTTGATTTTTCTATCAATCACCTATGGGTATCATAAATCGTCTATACACACTATTTACACCAGTGGTATGTTGGTGAATTATGTTGATTCATCCATGTACTCTTCATTCATATGTCTCCGTTGCTTCAGAGAAGGAGTCGGAGACATCTTCTGTGACACATTTTGTCTAAACTTTCTAAGATTTAAGCTAAGTGTACAGAATTGTACATATCTAAAATCGAAGGAAGCAAAATACGCAGTCAAGACACTTCAGGAAAACCATATAGTCCTAGTGTGTTAATTCCTGCTTCCTTCTTAATCTAAATATTTGAGGAACATCAATTCTTCGGAATTCAATTTATTATTGTAGAATGTATTCCACTTTTCATACGTAATCTCTCTTGTTCAGTGAAACTATATTCCATCCTATGACACTTTTGTTTGTAACCGTTCATGATTAGAAAACGCCTGTAATACGTTGTTATCTCTTGCTTTCAACATCCGATTCATAGAGATAAAGTAGGACGCCCGTTGATTCCTACTGAATGTGTTGGAGTGTTGATTCGATGAACAAGGATCCAGAGTCCAACTCCACTTTCCATTTAGTTATCTTCCTTCTTAGAACTTTATTGCTATTCCAGTGTGTTATGCGATGAGACAACGGCTTTTTTAATTCTCTTCTACTGAAAAACTAATCGTTCTTCAACTCTATGTTCACTGATGGCTTCGTCAAGTTAAAGATTGTAAAGTCACGCAGTTACTTCTGCCTATAGCTAACCTTTTACATTCGAATCTATATACGTATTGACTGACAAACTTTCAACATACATTTCGCACAGAACTGCAGGAGCTCAAGTCACCACATTATCTCTGTATAATAGGAAGTCTTCAAAATAACCCTTATGTGCAGAATTGTGCGGGAGAAAGAATACCATCATGGGTAAATATGAGAACTTCATGTATCCAGGAGATTACAATGAGTGAATGCATCTGCACCATTGACAACGGTTTAGAGTCATATCGCCAGTTGTCTACAGTCACTGACTCTCAGCATCCCAGTCACCCAACCAAGTAGTTCAAACCTCACCAAGTGGCTCAAATTACTCAATTGTCGAAGAAATAATGAATCGATGTCAGATTTTCACTTGACCGATCCTCGACATGCGTCATACACATCCTGGCCATCTCATTCACTGCTACTTCACAAATCCACTCGACCAACTGACGTGGTCTTCTCACCTTACACTCGACGTCTGACCGGATTATTACACAACCTCTTACGCTGCCTAACACAGGAGACAGAACGCAAACATCTGTGGTTGAATGCAACAAGCCTCTTCGAGACTTTCACTTTCAATAATGACATCTCACAGCCATCAAGGAGGACAGAGTGAGCTACTGAGCATTATACACCTCTTTTGATCGATACCTCGATATCATGTCTACGTCAGAGATAATCTAAGTTGCTAAATAACAAACGAATCATTTGTATGCGTGCTGAGATGTCGTCAGAAATCAGTCCATTAAGGCTAACGCCACTGTATCCGTGTAATTATACACACACAACTATAATGTGTAAATGTGAACAGAATTCTCATGTTGCAAATATTCAGGTGACTACATATCATGAATCATATCTTAATAGCACTGTTTTCTTCGATGGATTCCAATGTCCTGAGATCACCAGTTTCAAAGATCAAGTAACATTTTAAATCTCCTTCGTAGTAGAAGGCGAATAATCACTTCACACTTAGAGTAAGTCAACCGATGAATAAAAGCAGAATACTATGATGCAATGCACAATTTTAACCCAGCTGTACTGACAACAACAGAGATTGTTCAAACTTTTCTACAGCAAAAAATAAAAAAGTGGAGAGAGAGAGAGAGAGAAAAGCACACAGGTGACAATCTTGTAAAAACTTTCTTTATTTTGTTGTTATTGAAGCAACAAATTGCATTTGCAATTGGAAGGCACACAGATATATATGCATATTCATAAGAAAAGAAAAATAATGACTTGGAAATTATAATAATTATAATAAAAATAATAAAGAGGTCGAACTGAAATCAACACTATATCACATAGTCAACCTTGAAATTCACTTGAAATCTTCAAGTTTTCTTTGCTTTAATAAGACATGAAATGAAAAGAAGAAAAAGAAGAAGAAGGAAAGTAAGATGCTTCTCAAAGTAGACAAAATATTCACTTCCATGGATATTCACATCTACATCATTATTATTATTATGTAGCACAACAAAATAAAGGATTGCAGTGGAAGTCAACTCACACGTGGAAAACCAGTGGAACAAAATCTGAAAACAGGCTAAATCCCTTCATAAGAAATAGAGAAAGAAAGAAACAAAGAAAGAGGAGGTGAGAAATACAAAAAGATTGAGCAATGTGTTTACATTCCCCCTAAGCGTATGGATGTATATGCATTGCGCTAAATAAAAAAAATACAAACCAAATCACCAGGAGAGAAAGGCACATAAAAATAATAATAATAATAATGATAGAAGTAATAAGAAGCTGATGCCCACACCAAGCATACACACACGCACACAGGCACACACACACGCACCCTTGAACACTATTCACCATAAGGTTATTCTGGCTTATCAATCAGGTACAACGATATATGTGTATGTATATACAAAGGGTATATATATTAGGCAGGACAAAATCACCTCTTACTCATTGTCCATGTGTCTTCAACGCTCACACTTAGATATATATATGTATATATATATGCTTCTAATAATAAAAATCTTATCACAGATCAGAAGGGAAAACGAAGGCATGTCAGTAAGTAAGTAAGTAGGTAAGTAAGGCTGATATGTCGTTTCAGTGTATGTACACACATGTGGAGCATAGATATATATATGTATATATGCACATATAAAGGAGTATACAAGGAGTATAAAAGAAGAAGAATAACAATAGCAGAGAATCATTTGTTTACTTGTTCTGGAAAGAAAATATTTCCTTGATAGACAGGAGACGACGAAAGACATGTATATCATAAATACACAAGTATATATATCTACTTATACGCGAAAACTTGATGGACGTCAGGAGGATTCCATTGTCAGTTGAATTAAAATTGTTCATTATTCTCTTTAGATGGCAGATATGGCTTTCGATTGAATTTCCATAGTTGATTTACTGAACCGGTACATCTAGCAAGTCTTACTGAAGCAGATTTAGGTCTCATTTCTAAACACTGGCCTTGATGACGAATAGTGTTGTCCTGTGAGATGGAAAGAAATTACAAAATGAAGCAAATTCATGAATTCATTTTTAAGAAATTGGATATTAAACATAGGCATTCCTACCGGCGTCCAACAGTCATTATATTTCTTGACCTAAAGGCAGCATTCGACTCTGTCGATCGGGAAGTTCTCTGGAGATGCTTGGCTGTAAAGGGAATTCCAAGAAAATATATTGCACTGATTAAGGCACTCTATTCGTACTCATACAGCCAGGTGAGGGCTTACGGCGAGCTGTCATCTGAACTGATGACGACCAGTGGTGTCCGTCAAGGATGCCCATTATCTCCTTTTCTATTCAACTTCATCATAGATGTGTTAATGGACTTAACCCTAGGTGACTTCAGCGACTCAGGGATTGACTTGCTACCGGGGAATAATCTCGTTGACTTGGAATATGCAGACGATATAGTCCTTCTAGGCGAAGACGCTGACGAAATGCAGAGTCTTCTAAACACCTTGAGCCGCAATCTACGAATGTTTGGCATGCGATTCGCTCCCGCCAAATGCAAGATGATGTTACAGGACTGGACTACATCGACGCCTAGTTTAAAAATAGGAAGTGAAGTGGTAGAGCACGTTGACCGCTTCACTTATTTGGGAAGTACCATCAGCCCCAACGGGCTGATCTCTGACGAAATCTCAGCACGAATACAAGGGGCTCGTTTCGCATTTGTTAGTTTACGCCGACTCTGGCGTAGACGAGATGTTCGACTATCGACCAAAGGGCGGGTGTACTGCTCATCAGTCCGCTCCGTCCTCCTTTATGGCCAGCTGTGAGACCTGGCCACTGAGAGTGGAAGACATGAAAAGACTAGCTGTCTTTGATCATAGGTGCCTGCGCTCTATTTCCCGTGTAAAGTGGCATAATAAGGTGAGCAACATGGAGGTTAGGCGTAGAGTTCTAGGTAAACAGGGGAAATCAATCGACGAAGTCGTGAAGCTACATCGACTGAGATGGTTAGGACATGTGTTACGTATGCCAAGTCATCGCCTCCCTCGACGAGCTATGTTAGCGGATATAGGGTCAGGCTGGAAAAAAGCTAGCGGCGGTCAAACAAAAACTTGGCATCAGTCAATGAAATCCACAACAGTTGGTCTTAGCCACGTAGGAAGGTGTAGACTTCCAGGCTGGGGTCCTCGGGACGGCAAAAATCTATGGTTGGAAACAATTGGTGACATGGCTCAAAATCGTTCTCAGTGGCGCAGATGCATCCACTCCCTGTGACTTATGATCTTCAATGAAATTGTTTTGTATTTCTTTATTACTCCTTTGTCTCACACCTCTGCTCACTGTTTCTATTATGCTTTTCTTGTACTTTCTTCTCTTGCTTCGCGTGCTACACGGAGTGTGGCGACTTGAACTTCCGCACATTTGTGCAAAGTTCTATGTCGAAAACAGACAGACAGACAGATATTAAACAGGAAGGACTTAATGACGAATCAGTCAATTTGGCTAGGTATAAGCTTATGTCAGTGGCCGACTTATATCATTGGGCTATCTAACTTTACACAGAACGCAAAGCTTCAAATTTACTTAACTGTACTTTGTTTTAACCACCTATTCACGTCCTTGAAGAACAATCTTCACCCACGTGCATTTTCGAATGCCATTCAATATATTGTCTGATATCTTTTCAAAGGATAAATGTGTCGGGAAACACAGCATCCTGCAGATATGATAAAATCGACTTCTGTTTTACTTGACGATTCTGTGTAGGGAGTTGATAAAACCAAGCTGAAAATTCTCTACTGTATGCAAACATGTTGTTAACCGCAGAACTATTACTAGTATAAGCATTGATGTGGTTAGTTTGATAAGGGAAAACTTAATGAACTTAACATTCATATGCCAAACAGAGAGATACAGTTATAAAGGAGTGGGAAAGTCACTCGACATTTACTTGGAAACTAGAGATTCCTAGTTACTTTTCTGAGAATCGTTTACTGTGATACAATGGAGGGTATTTACTGTGTGTGGTAGTCCGAATTCTCAAAATCTTGACTAGTTTTCATTCACTCATACTCTCTCCTCGTACATCTTTCTTTATCCGTGCTAGTCACATTATATTTCTTCGGCCTACTTTTATTATGCATACTATTTTCGATAATGAACTCGTGACCTGAACTGAGGAAACTTTGTCCAATACAAATAAGTCAGACAGAACAACATTCACATCCATGTTTCACTATGTTTGTGAAGCTCATCTTATTCTCATGATGGCGATGATTATGTAGGTTTATCCACTGAACAATAAAACCACAAGGTAAAAGAAGTCAAGTTAACTTACGAAATAAACAGAATAAATACTTGAGTTCATTTAACACTGTGTATGGGGAAAATACTACAGGAAAAATGAAGGTCTCAAGCTACATTTACACCTAACATATTTAAACTTTCCATTAATTCAAGGAAGTCATCACACCACATACAACGATAGCCATTCACTTAGTTAGGGAGCATCATTTCATTTACGGGCTCCACTGATGCAGACATCAGAGCTAACCACGATCGGAAAGACGATACAGAAATCCACTGATCTGAAACCGATATCAAAATCCGCTGTACTATACTTAGCACAAAAAGCAATACTCGGAATTTCATCACTTATGTCAAACTCAGTGCTCCTATATGACCCGGAGGGTTGGCCTGTCACGAATACCATTTCCAACAGGCGCAAAACTTTCGTCAACTCCTGCCTTCACTGGCTCGACACTGAAAACCAAACGGCCAACCAGTAAGGAAAAGCAACAAGGAACAATGGTGTTAATCAAACAGTGAAACTATCGCCTAACAAATATGCAAATACAAATTGATACGGATAGGACATACATAGTGGAGACCTTCATGCCAGACACTTCCTGACTCAGATCCTCGAGCGGAACCTGAATAACAAACGACAAGTGGAGTCGGGTGAGGAGGAGATAATAATATATCGGTAATCGTAGAGCGCGTTAAGGAAGACTGCACAGATCTCAATAACAAAAATGGGGATCTGTTCCTGTCACCCGTTGTTCCACTAGGAAACTAAATGAATGAAAATCACACATAATAACATTGCTATACATACATTCGATTCACATAGAATGTCTTTTAAGGAAAAAGGAGCTTACATTTTCATAAGTGAACATCTGATTCCCGTGTGAACCATGACAATGAAGCAAACCAATGCTTCCTTCCTGTACACCCGAGTCCCAACAATAATCATCTCGTCTAATCTCATTTTCAGGTGATAATAACCAAAACTACAGACAACACAGAAAACAAACAAAAGAGCGATTAATTTCAAGAGAGCGAGAATTATTGTTTTGAAAGAAAAGTGAACTTTATGATTGATTGACTGACCGACTGACTGGGAGGCCTTCATAGTAATGAAATCCACAATATAAAATAAGGATATCAATGTTTGTTTATTGGTACTACTTATCATTATGAGGAGCTTACGTGTGAGTGTCAAATATATCACACGAACACAACATATTAGCAGGTTGAATCAAATTTCGACTGAATGAATAACCCGAAATCTTGTTTTTTTCTAGTCATAACTATACATACTACTGACTGGTTGACTTGAGTAGTTGGATCCCACTCACATCAGTCAGCAGAGTTTGTTAGTCAGATCGAAGTGAACTGAACACCGGACAATCATCGTATCGGTCGTTTGCGGCTGAGTTATCAGTAGTATGTAGCGTGATACACATGTTTGCTCGTGTTCGTGATTCCTACTTGTACGACCAAGGCGATCACACATTGTCGTCCAAATAATATTTGGTTTTTAAAGGAAACGTGTGGAGAAGATTCACCATGAACTACATAAATTGCAAACTACGAATTCATCATCACAACTTTGATTAATACAGTACCACGGTAAGACGACGTTGCAATATGTCACAGTTTTCATCGAACAACACTTTGACGCTCGCGTATTCCATATTTATTAAGAAACGAGGGCTGAATGCATAAGGCTTCTGATTACGGATCAGAAGATATCCAACCTGTATGTCATCCGGACTGAGATTTATTTCGACGGAATGACTAACTAAGTCATCGGAAATTCTCTTTGAAAATTCTTCAGTATAACCACTTTCATCGACTATTTACACCAAGCTTCATTAAAAATAGAAAGACTGAAGTGATTCTCTCCTACTACAAGACTTTATTTGACAAGGACAAATGTAACATGTACACACCAGCATAGTTCATAAGATGGAAAAACAATTCCTAGTAATAAACTCAGCAAATGGCACAAATTTCAAACAATCTACACACTGATCATATTTTTGACAACACGAAGCACCGATCATGCACTGTGCACTGTCTATTTTCTACGAATACTGAGTAGTATCTCTTTTTAGAATTTCTTTTATAAATCTGTGTTGTTCATTGAATGAATAGTTTTCAAAATGAAAAGAAAATTAGCTAACTAACTCACTTGATTACCACCCTGTTTATGACATGGCCATGTTTGAATAATCACTGTCTTACGATCTTTCTTATTCGGTACTGGTGCATCTAAGCACTGAGGAGCGGCAACATTTTCAATCTATAATAAAAGTGAAAAAGTAAGAATATACGATAGTGATGAAGTACTCAGAGGAAAGGCAATTTCTTTCTACGTTCAATCCGTTTCTTTTTCTACATACCAAAATGGGAAATTTGTGCATGAACAATATTCTCATCGAGGTTAAATATGCTTATTTGACAAAGTACACAGTACAGTAATACAGAAATTATTATCTCCTGAATGACACTCAACAATTATATCAATGTGTTTATTCGATTTTTGAACAGTTGAGTTATGCAGTAGAAGGATTCTCAATATCCCCCTCAGTTGATTGTGCACTACTGCTGTTGATGATGTATTTATTCAACATGTAAACACCGATAGATAGACCTAAATGTATGGGTCTTTAACACAATACTTGTGTGTGAATGTCATGCAGAGCAATACTTATGTTATTCAGTGGTACGTATCCTTCTATTTTTAGCTGAGTTCTCGTGGTCTTATAACATAAAAGCTTATGATGAGCTAGTATTTCTCCATATGTCAAATAATATTTCGGTGATTATTATTCTAGGCTCATGATGACATCTCTGAATGCCTGTGTTTAACGACGCAGATTGGCATCTCTTAAGGGAAATGGGTATTTATGCACTGGCAGTTGACCATAAATAGTAAACCTCGCTCCAGACGCTTTCGGTTGACTATGTTCGGTCTACACGCAATACGGATTTTTCCAATTGCGTTACCCGGTGAATGTTTTTCACACATTACGCTATTAGCCACATTTGGTGTGTGTGTGTGTGTGTGTGCAAGAGATTATGACATTTTTCATTCACCTAGAAAATATGTAGATCAGGATTTACATTACTTATAACGATCAATCATCAACTTAAAATACATAATAATCTGAACTCAAATATATGTGGGTATATCTTAAAGCTTTTTATTTATACATATTTCTACTTATATCTACACAATTTAAACACCTGTTAAGCCAAGATATAAAAAAGAATATATACAGGTCAATAATTAACACAATAGACAAAGAGAAGACTGTCAATATTGCTAGAATTCAGTGATTAAGACTGAATACAATCTAGAGTTCAATAATACAATAACAGTAACGTCATATATATTTAAACTAGTGGATTTTGTACACTTAGCTTAAAAAAATAAACAATTATGTAGAGAATACTTAAAAATAGACATACCAGATTAGTATACTAACATAATATCGACAATTAAATATTTGCAAGTGAAGATAATTATTGTAATAACAACAATAAATAACTTTTAATCACCGCTAGAATAAAACGATAATGTTTACAAGAATTATGCTTGTATATGTATATACATAAACGTATTATATGGAGGGAGAGGTAGAGCGATAATCGCACATACTGTGATCTTTGAATTGTGACAATGATCCTAGACTCAACGAAATACAAAGGCTAGTACATATTCAATTCTTCAAGGCTAATACACAAATCAGAAAGGTCAGTAAAGACACCTAGTGTTACACAGTATAGAAGTGACGCTGAGTAAGACGTCTCAAAGGAAAAAAAACTGACAGACTGGTTTCACTGTAGGACTTTACACTGATGTGCATCAGTACAAGTCACCACACTCCATATAGCAGACGAAGCAAGGGAAGAAAGTAAAAAGAAATGCAAAACAGAGACAATAGACAAAAAAAGAATAGTAATATTGAAGAAAAATAGTTTTTCTGGATAAGTTACAAGGAGTGGATGCATCTGTGCCACTAAGAACGATTTTCAGACATATCGCCAACTGTCTCCAGCCTTTATCGGCTTTCACAGTCCCGAAGACCCAAATCAAGCTGGTTCTCTACACCTCCTGACGTGGTTGGCTGGCTTAAAATAACTGTTGTGGATTTCATTTACTGATGGAACCACGTTTTAGTTCAACCACCACTAGCCAACTCCTTTCCAACCTGATCATATGTAACCTTACATTGCCTATCGGTCGAGAAAGGCGATGGATAGGCATACATAACCCAGGCCTTACCATCTCGCTCAATCGATGTGACTTCATCGCCTCGTCGACTGATATCCTCTCCTTACTTAGCACTCAACGCCTAACCTCAATATCGCTCACATAACGCAGGAGATAGGATGCAGGCACCTATGATCAAAGACAGCTGACTTTTTCATGTTTTCCACTTTCAATGGCCAGGTCTCACAGGCATAGACGAGGACTGAGAGAAGTGCTAAGCAATATACACGCTCTTTGGTCGATAACCAGATATCAGCTAGTAATCTAGCCTATATTGACAATCTTGAGAAAGATATCCTTTCCTTTTGTATTTTTTCACAAGTAGTTCTTCCTCTCTTTTGTAAAGATTATACTAACTGTGAAAAGTTGACTGCCAGTACACCTTTATCAGTCCTCAAGCCCATAATAATCAACAATTACAGTTTTATCACTTTTCAAACCTTTTATCTACAAATAAGTTTGCACAATATTAAAATGTGTTAACTAGGCCAGCCTAAACGCGGAGCTAGAAATCACATATTTCAACCTCTACATCCAATATCAATGCCACGAAAAAACACAAGGAAACTCTTTAAGTTTTGGCTTGTGCTAAAAGACTTCTAAATATTAAAAAACACAGATGCCAAAGAAGCTGTTCTTATCCTTCATGAGATTCCATCAGCGAGCAGTTCATTAGCAGTGACACATTGTCTCGAATAAGTGTAAATTTGTCAATACATTCAATTTAAAACAAGTTCTGGAAAATCAACCTACATTCGATAAAAAAGTGGATACAAGGAAGAAAAATATATTTCGATTGGTGATCAACGCTCACAGTATTAAACTACCATCTAGCACATTGATCAAAAGCATACATATGCCAGGTGACCTCTAAGTAGCTAATCACGCCGTAAAACCTTAAAATAACTATTTTAAGCAGTTACCTCGCAGGGGGACATGAGTCCTTTGTTTTTCCCTCTGTTTGGATTGCCAAATTCCTATTGGCCGTTAATGCTGAATTTTCAAGGTCATTGTAACTATATATATTTAGAGCATTTTGACTGTTGTTTCAGACAGTAAAAGTTCTCTTATCGACGTCCAGTCTTTATTTTATCTTTGTGTGCCAGAGGTGTTTTGTTGTTGGTGTTGTTGACGTGCAATTAGGACAGATTAGCCAGCGTATTAACATAGTATTCGTTCATAGTCTACTAGATCGTAGGTCACGTCATAACAAAAAGAAACGTAGGGTTTCAAATTTTAGGCGTTGAAGTTTCAATAGCAATTGTGTTGTTCGCACAGGATTGCGTTGCTAGCCTCCTCCTCCCCCCCCCAACCTTCGTTTTTCGCATAAGATTTAATACCACCTAAACAAGATTTAAGCCAGAAATCGAACCCAGCACCACACATGTGTTCATTTGGCGAACATTCTACCGTTGGACTACTGATGCCATTTACTAATGAATTTACAAAATTTTTTTTTGATTATAGCTTGATACCACACCGTATTTTTGATGAAATTGTGAAATTTTCAGTATGGGATATCGGTAGCCCGTATTTCGCAGGCCGACCTTAGATACCAGGTGTGCGTCGGCAGGAGATCGAACCCCGGACCATGCGCATGGTCGACGAGAGTCCTAACCGCTGTGCCGCCGACACTACAATAGGACACTAATTACTGGCTAGTGTCCAATCAAAGTATCCAATACACTCTTACAGGAAGTCAATCGCTAGCCCGATTGGCTCAGTGGTAACGTCTCTGACTGCCGCCCTCACTAGGTGACACGGGTTCGAATCTCAGTAAGGATATGAATTCCTTCAAGGTTGCAGATACGCCTTGCTGACTGGTAAGTGCCAACTAGCACGAAACCTATGTTGAGCAAGGCTCTTCCTGTGGCCGATTATTGCCTCCAACTGTCTAATATCATCAAATGAAACACCAGTATGTTACGTGCACATGACATATACACTGAAATAATAACAACAGCGGATTAAGTGAACTGGAATAATTTTTCCCATTCAAAAAAGGGATGAAAAGGAAAAACTACATTTCAACAAGACAAAAAAGAAATACACAGATATCATGATTATTGTTGCTATTGTTAAAAGTTCGACTATTTGTGAGTATTTCTGTTGTGACAAAAAACAACCCCTCAAATTTTCATCTGTCCAAAACTTACAGTCTTTTCTACGAAAAAACAGTCTGTTATTAGATATGTAAACTGTTTATTATTCCAAAATATCATAACCATTAGTGGGGTAATCATCAGAATGAGAGTTGGCTATGATCCTCATAAAAACAAGTCCAAAAACATAGTTGTAAGAAACTATATATATATATATATATATATATATATATATATATATATATATATATAAACATTTAAATGATTGACTTCGCACACTAGAAAATACTCCCAGAACTAACTGACTAACTAACTAACTAACTAACCACTTGACAATATGAACAACAAAAGTATATGCAGGGTGTAGAGTAGAAGCATGGCGCTAATAGCTGTATGTAACGCGTCTCCCTAAATAAAACATAAATGGCACTAACAACCAATATGACACACTGTGCAGTTCACTCACTAATGCTTACAAATAGAACGAAAAAAAAATCATTAGGTGAATCAATGAATAAATACACACAGGAACAATTAAATATAATTAAATAAATAACAAAATAACGAAATTAGAGACGAGAAAAAAATCAATGTAACGCATCGGAATACACTCAGGAATTCAGCATTTAGCAAACAAGATACGATATGTGAAAAGAAGAAGTTTGATATATCGGGACTTCCTAACTCCCTTCAGTAAACCTAGATATCCACCAGTTTTGTCTTGAGCGCCAAAGGTTCGAATCTACCCTGTTACTTTCAAGAAGAACAACCCCACTACGTGTAGGCAGTGAGTCTATGAAGGCGGATTCCATTAGAGCATTTCGTAAGGGTGATCGAAGTCTCTACACACCCTTGGACGTACCAGACTGTTTATGGCTTGCAGTTGACTTTATCGACTAGTGCACTTATTTAAATAATTATTCTTTTACATAGATAGAATCATATAGTAACCTAAGTTTTGCTTACTGACAGTTCATGATCTTCATATGCATGGATCCCTTGATGAAGCGAGAAGGTATAAGGCAATTGTACGATCAAACGCTCTCAACCAAACTTAGACAGCCAAAAAAAGATTATGAATATTTCTCACTCGTTTGGTAAGATTCCATTTTAATTTTCATTACACTGAAAGTATAGTCATCTGTATTAGTGATCTCAACTTACACTAAGCTAATTTCAGCCTTATGAACTAATATTGTTTTCGAGTTACTTTCTGACCCAATAAACTACCAATATTTGCACATACGTTTCTGTTTTATCTCCTAGGCCACACTTCATGTTTCCTCTATAGAAATGCATAACAATTTATAATAGAAAGATTATGACTTTTTTTATTGAATTTTTCAATTGATTGGACTGAAGTGCTCGATCTAAGGTTGACATGAAACTATGGTTACTATGTTCGAGACCCGGTGGGGGAACATCATCACTCACTGAGAAATGCAGGTACCTCCAGGTGACAAGTCCCAAATAGGACGAAATGCGCATCCTGAATTAGACTGCTAGTCACCATCCACCTATTAAATAGAGAGATTATGACGCCTGAATTTTGGATGAGACAGTTTATAACACTTTCGTTGTCAGCATTTCAAAATTGAAAAAAGCTGTTTACATTCTTTTACAATCATTATATTTCCAGTTTGATCAAAAATGGACATAAGCTACAGAACAAGTGGAAAACCAGGGAATACTGGACAACCGTTTCGCCCTATTTCGCTACTCTCCACAGTACTCATTCACCAGGGTTATTCAAACACAGTGCCCCTTGGCTACAAGGTAAGCATATAAAACTTTCAGCCACTGGGACTCGATTCAACGCTCCATGAATTAATTCCTACTTCTACCGATTCATGATTATGAACACATGAGTCAGTCAGCAGGAAGATCTCTTTTCTCAACTTCACTTCAAGGCTGTGCAGTTATTTAGACCTTTTAGATATGCATACAACTCAGACTGACAACAGAAGTCAAAGGTTATTGTCTATGGGTAATAAAGCAAATTGAAGTGGGTCACCATTGAAGTCACCATAAAACGGTAAGCTTCCGTATACTTTGCATACCCGAGGCTTTAGTGATCCGGATAAAAAAATCTGATTTATGTACACAGAAAAAACTTCTCTGCCCGCTACTTCTACCTTGGGTATTATATTTCAAGTTCTACTACTTTGTTAATAAGGCTTTCTGAATTTCCGTATCACTTTTTAGTAAACAATTTTTATCAACCAACGCTTTATTTATTCTTCCTATCTATTAGATAATTTATTGTGAACACTCGCTTCTATGCTGTTTCATTGACAGACTACATTTCAGGGTGTCTGTCATACTACTCAACCCTTGTCAATACTTACCGATCTTCACCGCCCATCCCCCCCCCACTTAGTTACTAGTTGATTATTCATCATATTTTTCAAACACTTTGATGATGCAAACAATTTTTTTCCTTTACGTTCCTCAGTGGAACATAGGGCTTCAAGCTAGTGGCTAGAAGTTTCTGTAGCAGTGTTTATTTTACAGAATGGAGTTGCTAGCCAGCCTCATGCCCAACCTTTCCTCTTTACCAGCATTATTTCTGGCTCAGCGAGGTAAAGGAATGAGTTGGCCGGGGATCGAACCCAGGGTCATGTGCATGGTCGGCGAGCATCCTCACCGCTATGCCAACGACGCACGATGCGAACAATAACCCTAACTAATTTCAGTTTTTGTTTCACAATCCTAATATACACACACAGAAACAAAATAATGATATATACAAATGCGATTGTGCAGCTAAATGAATGAATTCATCGAAAAGAAACTCTTCGTTGAAATTTTGGTCACGGTGAATAATCGTTTGGAAATAATTGAAAATGAATTGAGAAAAACATAGAGAGAACAACATAGAGCCTATTACATCGTAGGTTATTCAGGAAGACAAAGAAGGAGGCGAAAAAGAAACTGAAAAAACAAACGTTGAATATAAGATCGCACTGTTGTCAACTTCAATGTGCATTTGCCTATTCACCTCCCCATGTGGAGCTGAGAACACAGGTTGTACCAGTAGGACATTGTTTAGACATGCTCATGAACACTTACCGGCCTGGTTGTCAAAAGGAGAACACACAACAGTCAACAGATCCATCCCACAGCATAGTTCTACTTTTGGTCATGCAGCATTAGTAGAGACTTCTTTCAAGGTCATATATTAAGTACGACTAAGTCGTTCGAAAGCATTTCGCCTGCATTCTCATGCAGCTGAAGCCCTAGCAATCATTAAGGAGTAGCGTGAAATTCGTGTTAAGAAACGTTTCATCCAGCCTCTTTCACTACCATGTCCATAGTACTATTTTTTCCTTTGTCATCCTTAGTAACAATAATATAACCTTTATGTTCACCACTCTATGTTTTCCCCAATTCATTTTCAATCACTTCCTATTGACGATTCATCACTCAACTAATTAATTGTCAACCATTTTTGATAATTTTCAAGTATTCATCTGGTAGGGATTTCGACTGATTGGTTGGAGGATTTCGTCATGAGCCAACATCATTTAGAGGACCATTGGATGACCACCTGCAAGCGGCACTGGACAGTTCACAAGTACTCATCTACCGACAGGATTCGAACCCAGGACCTGGTAGTTACAAGGCCAGCTAGCTTGTGAAGCATTAAGCCACTGGGACCCGATCAAATGGCCCATGAATTCTAACTTCTGGCAATTCATGACACAGCGCAACGAATTCCAAATGTCTTCTTCAATGGGTTACTGCCTGATTACGACAAGTCGCTAGTGAGCATCAGATTGGCTGATTACGTAAGACTATTCCTAATTTTCCATTATGGGTAAATTTTGTTTTGATAAAGTCTCACATTGTTATACAGTAATGTTTACTGATGACGTTTCGAGCACAATTTATTGCCGCTCATAATCATATCAAGGTAATCACACGACTTCCTAAATTCATTTATATAGTTCCATTGTTTTTCTCTTGATTTTCACTTGATTTGATTGGTAATAGTATTTTCCATATTTCAGGTATGAGTGACGAGTCATTCCTATTGCATGTGTTGGGTGTAGACTCGATGAACAAGGATTCAGTAATCAACCTCTCTCTCTACCTACCTAGATTACTTTTTAGAATTTTAGCCCTCTCCCACCCTATTGTGTGGTTGTGTGTTAGCGCATGCATTGCAATTGCTGAGCTTTTTTCTAAATTACTTATGAAATGAAAATCAGAGAGAAAAACAATGGAACTATATAAATGAATTTAGGAAGTCGTGTGATTACCTTGATATGATTATGAGCAATAAATTGTGCTCGAAACGTCATCAGTAAGCATTACTGTATAACACTGCGAGACTTTATCAAAACAAAAATTACCCATAATGGAATTACACTCTACCACAGTGCACAAGTTTTATTCTTATATCAGTATTCCTAATTTTTTAAAATATAGTTTTTACTGATCCACTTCCATTTGGTTGATTACCCATAGACAATAACCTTTGACTTCTGTTGTCAGTCTGAGTTGTATGCATATCTAAAAGGTCTAAATAACTGCACAGCCTTGAAGTGAAGTTGAGAAAAGAGATCTTCCTGCTGACTGACTCATGTGTTCATAATCATGAATCGGTAGAAGTAGGAATTAATTCATGGAGCGTTGAATCGAGTCCCAGTGGCTGAAAGTTTTATAAGCTTACCTTGTAGCCAAGGGGCACTGTGTTTGAATAAACCTGGTGGATGAGTACTGTGGAGAGTAGCGAAATAAGACGAAACGGCTGTCCAGTACTCACTGGTTTTACAGGGATTTTTCAACGGATGCCTGCCCGTGATCAACCTAAAACAAATCAGATTCCTACAAACTAACTTTTGAACAATAAGCATCAGAATTCCTGGTAGTCTGAAGCCTACAAAAACCTCCGACGTTAAATGGAGTCATTGGATATTGGGGATAACTTCCTTCTGGCTCTCTTGAAGTTTATTGCTTTGTTCATTAACTCACCATAATTATCTGTATACACAGGAATAAAGCACATATCACTTAAATAAGTTACAGAATACAAGTTTCCTGCTCTAACATGAAAATTCAAAAGTCATGTGAGTGGTGGGTCAAATTGTGCCAATGAAGGCATGCACACAAGTGGTATTAATGCTAACCACGTCAACATCGAAGTTGTCAGACTAACAGATGAAGTCAAAACAGTGTCAGTGAATAAAACGAAGTGGAATCACACGTATACCTTAAAACTCGAGATCTTCTGGAGTTAGTAACATAAACCACCATCATAGTGAAAAGAATAATAATAATAATGCTTCAAATTCTACATTGCAATTGCAAAAGAAACATCAAAGGAAACACACACGGAAAACAATCCAAAAGTACACAACTTACATCACCAGACGCTAAGGCTTTTGAAGGTACAAATAATTCTGGATATATATTAGTTAAATACCATTCGAATGAATGACATTTCAGATTTTCCCGTAAGGCCTTACGTTCTGAAACATCACCATAATCGACCTACCGGGAGAAAGTACAAATGAAATAGAAGAGTGATAACAGAGGAATATCACTTATCTCTTTTTAAACTTTAGCAATTTACATCAGTAAAAGCTTTTCATCTTACTAAGCATGAACACACTCCAACCAAGATGAAAACTACCCAAGTTAGATTACGAACTGACATCAGCTAGAAAACTATTGATATCGAAGCAGCACTGGGGAATCTGCTTATCCTAGCCTCATGTTCTACAACAGCACGCACTCATAATCCCGTAAGGAATCGAACTCAGGACTTTCACGTCACTAAGTCAGTCAGCTGGCTAACCACCCAGTAGGATGGAGTTCAATGGCTCATCAATTCCAGTTCCTCCGGATTCGCGGTATACAGTGCCTTCACCAGCTAATCTCATCCGACAGTATTATTCCCCACACCCAACTCGGCGCATATCAATGTTATCATTTCCCACATCAACCTGTAGTCAGTCACTAGCGGGCATTCCATTAATCACTAGGTGTTGATTTGCAAGGATTTCTTCGGTTTCAAGTCAGATCCCAAACCGACACCTGCACACATTTTATTGCATTTGAACAGCTTAACAATATGTAACATAGTCTGAGACAACTTTACATCAAATCGCCTAACTCTTTAACATATTAGTAATCATGGGAACCGATAGACGCATCACTTCATTCATTATTCACACGTTATAAAGTCGTTTAAAATAGCCTCCAGCGTGTTAGGGAAACCGAACCAAACAATTCCAGTTGCAGAGCGCACTGAATTTCTCAGTATATACCACAGAAGGGTCACAAACTGAGACATAACAGGTGTCCAGTACTCCGTGGATCTCAATGATCGACAACTGGTAATAGTTCTATATTGGAATTCCAATGGTTTCTTGTAACTCGTCTGACATTTGCTAATTTGAATATGGTCACATTCATGGCACAAGCTTAATTTCACTAACATCAAAACAGGCTTCCACTATAATCTGCTCAAATATTTCACAGGAGTTTAAACACGTACAGCCACATACTTCATCAGACGTGATTTAGCAGCCGATTTATTTACCGATTTAAAACACACACGAAAACAAAACTACACCTATAAAATAAAAAACACTCACTTAAGCAAGAATAACTTACAGTTTTAAAACCAATACGTGCATAATAAAATCGTTTATAATCATCAAGCCAAACTTCAGCCAATCGAAGCAAATTCCTCTTCAAAGGATCTTTCACTTTAACATCCCATTTGTATGGTGAACGACCACGGAATATGTGCCCGACATAACTGCAGACACTAGTTTCCAAAATCCCACCACACATCCAAATCTGAATTTAAAAGGAAGAAATATTACAAAACAAGTAGTTTAAATGATTTATAATGAATCATATGCATCTTGATAAACTTTGAGTAAAATGACATGAAAGCATATTATGCAATGAGATATAAACTAAAAGTATAACCCCTTCTTATAAATTTGTTGTATTCCAATAGAGTTTTTACTCAATACTATGTGAACAATTAGATCAATCACTAACTATTTCATTGTTTCACATCTCACACACCAGACATAGAACTAAACAATTCACTTTGGATTAATTGAACACAAAGATGAATCTTGAAGTCCATTTTCACGAGGTGATTCACACATGTAATCAACTGACTGACTGCATTTCAACACAGAAGTGGAGAAGTTCAACTTATCACACTGCATGCAGCACATAAATTTAGAGAAGAGAACGTGGCTGACTGGCTGGTTGATTGGAGGGTTCAAATCAACTGTCGAAGAATTCATCGACCGATGACATGTTTTGATTTATATTATTATCATTATTGTTTCCTTCAATTCCTAGAAGAACACAGGGCTTAGGCCGCATTCGGTTCTCCACCAACGTTTTCACTTGGCTCCACGTCTGACAGCATGACTGCTTCTCCTCTTCACATGACCTGATTTCTGTCACCCTCTCACTGACGACCAATTCGCCGCTTCGCGTTCGGGATCGAATAGAGAGCCTATCGTGTTATGTCACTTGATGGTTTTCTGAGAGTATAGCTGATCAGCCTCCATTAGCTCCTCCATATTTGTTGCACAATCAGTACCTGGTTGGTACGCTCCGAAAGATCCCTGTTGTTGATCTTTTTTGTCCATTTGATCTTGAGTATTGAGCGAAGACAGCTGATGATGAAAGTTTGTAGTTTGTTCGAAGTGCCCTAGGTGACGCGCCAAGTCAATGACCGGTGTAGTAGTACTTACTCCACATTGGAGTTGAAAATCCGAATCTTATTTTTATACTGAGTGCCATTGATCTCCACACAGACTTGTGAGAAATGAAAGCTTGCCTTGCTTTCCCGATCCTCGCTTTGATATCCTAATCGGTTCTATCTGATTGTAGTTAAAACGATGCTTCCCAGGTAGGTAGGTAAAGGAGGTTGCTTCTTTCAGATTCCGGACATTAATGCTGATTTTTATTGTTTTCGCAGTCACAGTTGGCCGGGAATCTTCATCACTCATGTTTTCTCTATGTAAGCCAGATATCCCAGACAAATTGCAGTGCCAAAGAAAACACCGTTGATGGCGTTCGTGTTCAAAGGTAACACTGTTACTGAAGTCATTAAAAGTCGTTTATCTAAATGCATCTAACACTCTTTTTATGTATCTGACTTACATTTGGAAGTTACCAGCCAAAATATGATTCGACAATGCATCAAATATAAACTACCGCTTATATCAACTTCTATGTGCATATACTCATTCACATGCTCATGTGGAGCTGATTTCATTGGACGTTGTATGCGTGTTTTCAGTATACGCATAACTGAAAAATACCTGTACGGTTAATGAAAGATGAGTATAGGATGGCGAAATCTTCAATTTGTGAACACCTTCTCCAGTCACGTCATTCACATATACGTGATTCATCCTGTAAATCCATCTACACGACCAAATCCAACCACTCTAAAAGCTGATGTTTTCTCCACTTACGTTATAGCCGAAGCTCTAATTACTAATAAACAGAAACCTGAATTATGTACGTTTTGTTAAACGCCTTTCTTCACCCTGATCACAGTGTGATGCTCCGTTTTTTTTCATTCTATTCTATTCTGTTTTACCACTTGAATTCATCTCACTTCTATTCGTCTTCGCCATCTTTATTGTTATCATCAACGTACTCCTAAGTTATTAGACAACATCTGACCTGCCACCTTTGAAATCGTAATGCCAATTTGACTCATCTAATAATATTCGAATAGTTTTGTCATTCATCCATTATGGATAAGATTTTATTCTAATAAATCACACAGTGTTGTACAGTTATATTAACTGATGACTTTTCTAGCACAAACTATTGCTCATCTTCATATCAATTGATATCAATAAAGTTATACTCTACCACAGTGCCCAAGTTGTATACTAATATCAATAAGTGTCATTCATCCATTTCAACTCTAACCCCTCAAAACATCATTTTAATTATCTTTATTCTTATCATATGTGCAATATTGACTGAGCAATTTTTAGTACCACTTAATGCCTTTCTCCGTAATATAAATATGACTATGCAGCTTGAAAATGAAGTCGTTGAAAAGAGATATTTCTTCGCTGTCTTCTTCATTAAAACAAGACGTGACTGGAACTAATTTCGATGACTTCGTGCTTCAAACGTTTATACACTTAAGGAAGTCACGGTCTCCAGATGGAGAACACTGTTGTGACGTATAGCTGACATGATGCACACCTGCGTTTAGCGATGACAACTCAACTATACCATCCGGTATCTCATTCATCGAACAGTTTGTGTATAGAATTCTATCTCACAAAAAGGTAGACTGCAAGTTAAATAGCAATGATTCTGAAAATGGACACAAAATGACGCCCAGAAATCGGACACTTTACAAAATATGATGTGTATATGTGGTTCAGTCAAACACGCACGTGATCCGAGGTTCACTCTCCTCCCGATGCACTCCAAGAGCTAGACAAGCCGATAGTAAACCTTGTAAATAGGGAAGATTGAGTATGAGACTAGCAACATTAACACGCGGAAAAATAAACACCAGTGCTACTGCAAATTCAAAGTCAAAGATTGTAGCCTAATGGTTCATTGAGAAGGTGATGGAATAAAAAAGATTTCTAAATATGCGAAACATGATAACTGTATGCGTCAACTCGCACTAAATGCCACCTCTCCTCCCTCACATCTGTTTTAAACTAACTGAAAACTAATAAAAACACAACAAATCAGGAAAATTCTTCACTAACTCATACTAAAAATAATAAAACAAAACAAAATGACAATGAAAAATTAGAGAGATGATGAAATCTAAGGCAGGCATGAGAAATTAATCCGAGCAGTGATCCCGTTATAATCTGGTTTGACAAAGTCACAAAACAGGGGAAAGAATACAGCAGAAAATCAACAAAAGAAGAAGAGGGCAAATATTCAACCAAAGTAAAAGTTGTCACGCAAAATAAGAAAGACGCTCTTGTAGTTAGTTGACTATCCTATGGACAAGAATACAGAAAAAGTCTACTGTCGCTGAATTCTAATATCATCGTAAGGATTAAGTCTTTCCTACTTTTCTGCCTTTTTTCACACACACACATCCATATAACAAGAATAGAGAGAGAAAAAAGATGCATATCTGTCAAAGTGAAAATCTTACTTCTTGAACACATGAATAATTACGTCAGGAATGAAGAAGACTATATTAGACAGGCCATCATGATGAATAGATCAATAACTACTACTACTACTACAGCTACTACTGCGGAAAGTTTGTAAAAACACAAACGGTCAATACACAGTCAACTTATCTTAGTTATCAAACATTTTGTCAGTAGTCATTATAACCATGGAAGTGTGTTAAGCGGTAAAGGAGGAAGAGGATGACGAATCTCTTCCATTGCTGTCAATCCCTTGCAGTGAGTGAGATTCTGTCTACCAGTTAATATCATTAGTGAAAATAATGTGTCGGTGTGTTTTATCTTCGCTGATAACATACAGGATACAGCCAAACAAAATCATTATGACCCGTTGTACAAGGTGCATTACAACATATAACTTTGTAAATTAGTTCCCAATTTCCAATTATCGTTTGATATCTGTCACACTTTTACAGATCATTCAACAAGAGCAAAGGTTCAGTTATTAACGTCTCCCACTACTCTACGAAGTTAGATTACAGGACTGCTACTTTGGTGCATCTTATTGTACGGTAATGCTACATCTGCACTATCTGATAACAGAAGGGCACAGCTTTATTCCTTCTCTTTTCAGAATCCCACACAGACTTTCTGAAGGCCATCACTTATACAGCAACGCTATGAATGTCTAAAATTCTCACCTTCGACTACTATCATTGTTAAGCAGTTCATAAAAAAGTGACAAACACCAACTGTGACATAGATACCGATAATGTACACACTAATGTATCACTAAGGTGTAGGGATTCAAAACAATGAGTACCACTGCCAATCAAGGAGGACAGATACCAAAACATGAATTTCCTTCTACCTCATCACAATGAAGAACACGAACAATGAAGATAAAAGAATTCACACACCTCCCCTCCTCCCATAACAACCCCCATAAAAGATGAAGAGATTGGATAACTAACAAAGGTTCTGTACAATGACTATGAGTACATGTGCTCATGAGAGAAAGAAATAGGAAAGAACAAAGAAATTAAGGGGAATAGACAAAAGAGGATGAACTTTTAAAAACTTAATAAAAACACAAATATCAAAATGTCAGTGGTAGATTAGAGCAGATCACTTATGAAGATTATAAAGTAATTCGATTTGATAGTCAGCGATATTATTAACAGATAAGTTCGTCCAGTTCCGCTTCTAAGACACTGAGACCTACAGCAACTCAAGTTGAAGAAGCACTTTGGAATATAAAGATTTATTTACAAGTGGTCAACAAAGTTTTAAATAAAATGATACTTAATAGACTTTCGTAATAAGAAATTCTTGACTGAATACTAACGCTCCATCCATTCATATGGAGTACGTTAAACAAGGTGAACCAAACAAATGCCCGCCCATTTAGATAGGCATAATTTCCATCATTGAAGTAAGAATGGTATTTTATGCCATCACTGAATATGTTCAACACGTTGTTGTACCTAAAGTATACATTTAGATATATTCTAAGTACAAAGAATGCCTAACTTCTATAGGACTATAACTTTCAGAATGACAGCTCCACATACAGAGCCCGTCATGGAACGATTTTTTCATTGCATAAAACTGGTTGAATATTATCTCAACAGACTTTAGATTCTCTGAACATCTACCAAACCAGTCTGTGCATAAGAGGAAGTAAACTTTTGAACAGTTAAATCACGAGAGACCTCACTTACATAGGACATCGAGTAGACACCTAAACTTCTTTCAGAATAATCAATAAACAATCAGCCTAAACTCCCTCTTGAAGTTCACAGAGGCCATCGTTAACAAACAAAGGTCAGAACCTGACCTGTGTGTTCGAAAGGAAGCAGTAGTAAGTCCATCGGTACCTTGATAACTCATCTTTTAAATTTAATTAATTACATCATACCTGATCAAATGTAATTGTTGGTTCCCTTTTACCTCTACTTGCTTACGTAATCATTTATTCATGCTACACATATCGTTGATGTTTAACTAACTCATGATATATTGTACACCTCATCTGTGTATTAACAATTTTCTAATGGCTTATAATTTACGTACCTCAATATCTTATTGCTTCCCTTCCAACACACCATTTTTTGTTGTACTCGAGAAGCTTACATCACTTCACATCACAAATCTGTATAGTAGCATTTTGTACTTTAATAACTTAGTATTGAGATGCATCTATGCACCATGATCATTCATAATCACTATTCCACATTTTATCTCCAATGAACTAGAGTATGTTAAAGCTGTTATATAACCAACTAACTATTCACTTTCATTATTCAGTTTGTATGTTGCTGACAAGGTACCCTCAAAATGAACAATAGATCCGTTTTTATCCTGCACTGTATGTTAATGACTTAACTTAATTTTTATTTTATTCTTCCGCGTCCCGGGTGAGCATATGCTTTCAATATTTCAGCTTGGAAATTTTACTTCTAGTGGTCATATTCTTTGTTACGAGAACGGAGGGGGGTTTCAGACAAGGTTTATCAGCAGTGCATAAACGCAGATGGATAGGAAGTCGCCGAAACTGATAGCAACATTCTACGTCAGCGGCTACAGAAGTAGAATTGTTTAATTTGTAAATCTGGATTTAGCTTATTTTGTGGTGAGGAAATAATCTCTAAGTGTGACCAGTGAAGATCACTACAATGTATCGAGAAAAGACAAGACACTTAGTAACGGACTTCTCGTTGAGGATAAACAAACCATTCTCAATATTTAGCCACATTTATCGTCGGCTCCGTCAACGGATAATAATAAACTATTCTCATCGGTTGTTTATTTTCTGAAGGACAAACCTTGAGATTATCGCCGGGAGTGAGTTAAATCCAGACTTCAGAAATAAATACTGTTACTTCTCAGACCATTCATTTAAAATGGTGTTTCAGATTTAGCTACTCCTTATCAAGCTGCCATTATAAACTACTGATAAATCCTGTCAGTAGCACACGCCGCAACTTCACATCTAACCAACTCTCTTTACCTAGTTCACCACCGCCTAGGCCACATATTGGTGTGCATTGGTCAGACATCGAACTCTCGACTACGTTCTTGGTTCGCGAGCGTTCTACTGCTGAATCAGAGACTCAAAAATCCCATCACGCAGAATTTACTTTTCATATTCTTTCAACCACTAGCTCAACCCACACATATTTCTATGCTAAAAACAACCACTATAGTAAATTCACTCAAATTATCGTGCTTCATCCAAGGAAACAAATAATAAAATCAGATACTGCTTACCTTGAATGACAACTCTAAATTTTCACCTCCCCATACTTCCATACCAGGATCATATTTTCCGAGGTGATTAAAGTAATCTCGACTAATCGCGAACAAACCACCAGCCATAGTAGGTGTCCTGAAAAAAAAGTTAAAACATGAAAGGTGAAATGTAATCTACACTCCAACTGCCTAGAATGAAAACTGATCAGAAGTTAACATGAGTAAAATAACACACCTAGCAAAGAATTATTATTCACATGTAAAACTGTATGAAAGTATTACAGTGCAGCTAGATTAACACTTATTACCCTCCAGTATGATGTTGGTATGCATTCTCACAAAAACACAAATGACCAAGATTGCAAGCACCACTATCCCCCATATAATATATGCTGATCATATCCGATTGTTTGGTCGGATCATGTGCAGTGTTAATAGTTGACGGTAATTTTTGTGATTGCTACTGCAGGCCGACACTCGGAGACCACACACAATTGTGACGATCATCAATATAAACTGTATAATATTTGTAGCATGGAATTTCAAAAGTATTTTCAAGATTGCACGCAATAAAGTTAAGTATATGCAGAAAGTTTTCGAAATAACTGTAGAACCCCAAGTGATTTCACCGATAAATAAAAATTCGAAGAGTTCAGGATTAAGTGCCAATATGACAAACTCTTTTGACTGCAGAATAATATAATGACCGGAATGAATGAATGTAAATAAAGCGATGAGATCTGTCGTCTATCTGAGTGGTTGACTGCGTGGTTAACAGTGATTAAACCACCCTGTCAAATCAACGAACCAGTGAAATGATGAGAGTGAATCAATGAGAGAAACGGACATGTTTAAGGATTGATAGTTATGCATTAAAGTAGTCAGCCTAAATAGTTGAATAGGAAACACAATTATTTTTGAGCTGGATAGTTAATTTGCGAGGCTTTCATCGCCCTACTAGGCGACATCTTCAGCGCATACTTCAATCCGTTGAAGTGAGCTTTTAGATTTCTCCACGAGTTTATTATTCATCTCTCTGTTGGTCGGTGACCTTGGACGTGATTGGTTGTTTTTGTGTGTTTTCACACCTTCTAGGCTACTTGTATTGGAACTGATCGTTTCTTTGACATGAAACACAATGTATGATTGATTAGGTAATATGTAAACCAACAAATAAGATTCAAAAAGTATCTCCTGATGTAAATTACCTTCAAATTGATTAGTTCTTTATTGCATCAACGATTACTACTACATTCCCTAACTATGTCATGTAAAGAGAATATGAGAAAAAATATTATACTGTAACGACAGAAGACAAGGGCCAAGCAACAGATCGTCTATTGAGGAAATCCAGAGGTATTTATAGATTTTTCTGTACATTATTATTAGCGTTATTGTTGGCAGATAGCAAAATCTTCTGATTGGTTGTTTGTTTGCTGAAGGTTATTCTGCTACCTCTTTATGGCAGTTTCTTAGAAAGTTAAGCTGTATATCTGCGAATCGTATTTGAACACGTTAAGTCTCCTGTGATTGGTTGGTGAATTCCATAAAGTTAGGCTTTGTTATTGTTTTCCCTCATGACCCCGATTCGTGATGTAAACATTCACACTCTAAGGAAAGTGATGTTTGCAATAAAGCCATTGTCTCATCACTATAAGATTACTTGATATCGAGAGAAATTCCCCCCGAAATCTAAATTAACAACCACAATCCATACAATGATTTATTTACAGAATGAGGACAAAAGTTGAACTCTGTATCTGAATGAAGTAGCCACAATCCTAGTTTACTCAAAGAGAACAGTTGGGATCTTTGATGAACACCTTCATCAGTAAGCACAAATGTGGTATTCGTGATAAGGTCCTTCAAATCCATACTAGAAGCCACAGTGAAAATTGCCATCAATACTGAGTGTGTCTCAGAGACGCAAAGAATCACCAAACTGGTGAATTCGTTCAGTACCAGACTTGTGGTATGCTACTCAATACCATATGTTAGTGTGACAAAATGCAGAAATTATACTATGGAAATGACACTAGTTTACTCTCTGTATTTGTCAAGGCAATCCAGATAAGCAAATCGTTCTATTCGCTACAATATGCCTACAAACACCGTCTCTCTCTCTCTCTCTGAATATCTGTACACATAACTGATACATGAGGAAGTCTACTATGGAATATACACGAATAGTTTCGATCTATTATCCGAAATGAGTATTCGATTGAACGATTGCATCTACTGCGAATCATTGTCTAGTTATAAAAACTAAAATGGCTATAATTACTTCATCGAAAACTCATAATTATGCAAGGGTATAAATACAACAATCTCCGATGCAAACAAACAAATCAGTTCGTATTTGTCAACGCCTTAGTAATTGGAATATATGACAAGAGAGAGAGAGAAAAATCCCCACCATGCACACAATTCATTTATAGTGTGTGTGTGTGTGCTGGAGTGAGGGGAAAGTGAGGGATGAAGACAGAAGAGGATACTGGGCAAGTTATCAGTGCAATCATATGCCATGCTCGATTATCTTGCTATTAGAAGTCACAAGTACACAATGAGTTACATCAGATACAACTAAACTCCGTACTCCTTAAAAATTGTGTACAACAGTTTGGGGATGATACCAACGACATAGAGTATGGCCAACATTTACATATGCATTTTTTAAAGGAGACGACACTATCATTGTTTTGTTTAGCCAAATGGTATGAGAGAGAGAGAGAGACGGAGAGGGACAGAAAAATATACCAGCCTATTCACGCGCATAATAAATCGACCATCGACGAGAGAATATGTAAATCACTAGTAATAAAAAGGGAATAGGGCGAAATGTCACATGAAAATAATGAAGTAAAGTAAAGTAAAAAAGTAAAGAAATGAATATGTGAAAAAAATAGTGACAAAGGCATTGGGAATATCTATAAACAACAAGGAACATAATCACTAAGATACCCGTAGGAATTGTTCAGTCAATAATATACTCGTCGTGCATCGGTGGTCCACTGGTAGAATGCTAACTACCCTCTCATTACGTGGTCCGCAGTTTATCCCTGACCGACGCTCACTCCGAAATCTCAAATAACCGGGTAGTTAGCCAGAGGTAAAGACGGAAGCATAGACTTCAGGCTAGGCACGAACCCACTCCACGTAAACACACACCACACCTAGTGAAACCTCAAATCTCAAGTGTGACGTCCAGTGCTCCACTCGGTAGGTCAATGAATGAAGTAAAAACACAGTCATATGAAAATAAGGTACTAGAACACTGACAAAGTACAGTCAGAATAATTTGTTAACACACGCACACAGAGAGATAATATAAAACGTCACTTAGTGAAGAACACCATACAGCACGCTAATACAAAACAAACGGTAATTACAAACACGACACAATGTTTTTAGGGATTTATAAGTACACCAAAACCAACACATTCCACAGCAGGCCTAAGTAAAAACAAAACAAACATAACTGATGTGAAGATGACAAAAGGAAGAGTACAGGCCAACTGAAGGACAATAACGATATTACTACTAGTGTGGTGAGAGCAGGCTGCTAGCCGATTGGTTGGCACTAATCTACGTTAAGGTCTAGGTCACTAATATGGGCCGTGAGAAAATATGAACAAGGCTGAGTCAACAACCAATCACAGCAAAGTTAACGTGGCAAAATATGATTCGCAGATAGAGAACTCTATTTGTCAAGGAATCCCGAAACAACCAATCAGAAGCCTGCGTTTGTCTACCTAACTTCTGATAAACAACCAATCAGATGACTGCGCTTGTCTATAATAATGTAGTTGAAATATGTATAAATACGTGTTGATTTTCATAATAAAACGATCTGTTGCTTCGCCCTTGTCTTCTGTTGTTACATTTGGTGTCGCTGCCTCCAAAAAATGAAGATCCCGTGGCCAGCTGCGTTTGAAGAAGGAGACATAAGGAGCTTCTTACGTGACTTCGAGGCTGTTGCTGAGCTGGTGGGTGTCAAGGAGCAGGCGGCGAAGGCAGTTGTCCTGGGGACGCTGTTGAGAGGCCGAGCGAAGGCTGCATATGACAGCGTAGACAGGTCAAATGGCACAGCGTCTTGGAAGAAATTGGTTGAACGACTAGTGTCCGAGTTTGACAGCGAAACAGACAGACAGCTAGCAATGCAGCAGTTCCGGTCAATGAAGCTTGGACCTGATGGAGACCCGCTAGTGTTGGCGGTGAAACTGACTAATCTACTTCGACGCGCGCTTCCCACTTTAGATGAAGAATCAGAAGCGCAGTTACTGTCTTCCCAATTCATCGAGAGTGTCCCAGACCACATTTCTCAGCGATTACAACTGGTTAACGCAACGCAGCCGATGGATATTAGCGAGCTGGCGAAGGTGACCAGACAGCTGCTGAGCACAACGGTAGCCGCTATAGACCAACCAAAACCAAACGAATATGAGCAGAAAATTGAAGCATTGCAGCGGGAAGTGGCGGCGTTAAAGTTGGCTGATAGAAAAGACCGGTGTTTTGAATGCGGTAAGCCGGGACACTGGAGAAGATACTGCCCAGAAAGGCGAAAAAGAAAAAATTTCAGACGGTATAATGCTTGTTCTTTCTTTCGTATGAACCTAGATTTAGTGGGGGCTATTGAGAAAGGGCTCTGTATTCGAAGTTGCGAGTGAATGATCGAGAAGTAGTATGTTTGATAGATACAGGGGCGGCCGTGTCGTTAATAGATAAGAATTTATGTAAGAGTGTTAGCCCGTGTTCATTGACAGTACAAACAGTAGGCGGGTATGTGTTGCGTATCACGGGTAGATCGAACTGTACGGTCGTTGTTGGTGGCTGCGAGGTGACGTTTCCTTTCATTGTTGTACCCGAACTACAGCGAACGATATTAGGAGCGGATTTTCTGCGTGAGATTGGTGCCATAATCGACACGCAAGCGAACGTGGTGGTCACGAAATACGGGCATATCAACATGTATGAGACCAGCGAGATAGCAGCGATTAAGCTGCCGACGGTACACAATGTGACAGAGTTAATTAGTAAATACGATCATCTGTTCACTGGAGATGGCGACCCATACGGTTATTGCGATAAGGTGAATCATGAAATTCCGTTAAGTGATCCGAAAGTAAGGTCATTTAC